TTATCAGCAGTATATAGCAGTCTTGTGACTTCTATCAGTGTCCAGCCGAGCGCTGGTTATTTTTTGTAGGAGTTTTCATTCTCCTCTGACTGTCCTATAAGTTTGCATGACCCCTGACCCTCTGTCCGGAAGTCGCTGATTGGCCCAGTGTTGATCACATGCACCCTACAAAAAAACCCCAAACTATCTAGCAATACACACCACACAGAGCATGTGCAGAATTTCCACTGCTCCTCTGTACTATGGCAGATGGATTAGGGACAGTAGAAGAAGGGGAGGAACAGAGAAGACTGGACCAAACAGCCTTTTTGCACAATGCAGAGGATTAACCCCTCAGGTTCCAGAGTGAGTATAACAAGAATGCTTTACTGCATATACAAACTGATTTTGTGGGTTTATTAACACTTTTAGTGAGGCTAAGACCTTGAGGGGAGGGGCTAATAATGGCGCATGCCTCATGGCAAAGTGATATGCAAGCCAAATAGGGGAATTGTGGCAATTTTGATGGGTTTAATGGTGATGAAACATGATGATAATACCTATTGATCTGCTGGAACTTCACTAAAATCATGCACTGGTGATTTTTTTACACTGACAACAACCATTTTACAATATCCTGTGGTGCAAACTGAAATCTTAAATAAGAGATTGTTGTTCTAATGCAGAGTATTTGTAAGGACATGTATAGTGGTTGTGTGCAGATATTGCTTAAATTGTAAGCTCTAACGAGCAGGGCCCTCTATTTCCTCTTGTACCAAATTGTATAAAGGCCCCATGTACATAGGATGTTTCTGAACAATGGAAACTGACTGCTGGAAAACGTGGGTTAAAAACCGTCTGTTTAGCTGCATTTGCATAACACGTTTATGCGCGTTAGCGTTTAGAAGCTTTTTTTTAAAGATAAGCACAGGAGAACTTCCCAAATGCCCAGATTGCACTTAAAAGTGGTAAATTATTAACTATTTCAGACTGTTTCAGAGAAATACAAACAGTAGAAGCAGAGAGAACAGTATGTGTTGAGATTAGTTTTAGGTGTGAGTTGCTCATTAACATTTCTTTTGTTTCCAATGGTGGGAAAGGTGTCTGGTGGAGTGAGTCATTAAGGCCACCTGGCAGGGGGTCTTCATGAGGAATTTGAGGTGTGAATGGTCATTAACATATCTTTTGTTTCCAAAGGTGGGAGAGGTCTGAGGTGTGAATTGTTCATTACAATGTGTGACAAACTTGGTAGGAACATCCTATGTTCAGTGTTTTGTCCATCTGAGCACCTTGAAAACTCTTTGCATGATGAAAAAAAAAGGCTCTGGACAGCATTGGGAACTGGAATAGTTAAAATAAAATGTCAAACGCAAACACTTATAAACGTGATTTGCCGCAGTTAGATGCATTTAGCCGCATTTACAAGCATTTTGCGTTTGAAACGCTGATAAAATCGATGTCTGAACGCAAGTTTGTTGCGTTCAAAAAAAAACAACTGTCATCTCAACTGCCTGTAAATGACTGTAAACGAAGATGTGTACATGGACACATAGGAAAGCAATAGGGTGAGTTCAGGGGCTGCTGAAAAAAACACTGAACAGCTCCTAAACGTGAGTTTATCAGCTGCAGTGTACATGAGCCCTAACTGTAACCTTCATTTTGTAAAGCACTGCACAAACTGTTGGCACTATATAAATCCTAAATAATAATAATAATAATAATATCTCCCCCCTTCCCACGCACACACTTATTTTAAAGCATTGTCAAGTCAGTTCACTAGGCAGTTCACTAGGCAGACATTAGGGAAACATTTACTCCATTGACTGAACTACAAAGATGTTTTCTTCCTGGATAGCTTTTGGTGTTATCTGCTGAAGTCTTCTGCAGGGACCCACAATGACTTGATTAAATTTAAAACAGAATGTGATTGAATTCAAACTATCTCTGCATGTACAATACAGGATGCTATAAATCGACGCTTAAGACAGGATAGCAGCCAATATTAGTCTCGTAGATCACAGTCTTAAATCCAATTGACTGAATCAATGTACTTTCTTTATTGACTTAGAACTGGATGGCATTGGTTACATGTCAGTGTAGTATTGTATCAATCATACCAAAGTGTTGTGCTAAACATTCCAGGTTTATTGATTTTCCCAAGGTGAAAAAACTCAGTGGTATGTAAGAACACAATTCAGTATGCACTAACCCTTGAACATAGACAAATTCTCTATTGTAATATATTTGTTAGCAAAAAGAAATTTAGGCTCCTTGCACATTGGGCTTAAAAAAACACCAGTGCTCCTGGCAGACAAAAAGTGCTAATATTGTAATTTTGAGTGTTTTTTTTTTTTTGTACTAGCGTTTAGAAGCATTAATATTTTTTTCCACACACGTGGAAGAATTCAGTTAATTGGGAGCCACACTCCTCAGCATATCATAATAACCAAGACCAGGTTGGAGCAAGAATATATTATTCTAACCCCCCCCCCCCATCCCCCACCACCATTGATTTTAAAATAGTGCTGGTACACAATAAAATTATTCCAGTTTCCGGCCAAAAAATGCTTTCAAAAATGCAAAACAGTGTTTTTCTTCTACCTCTAAAAGCTGAGATTAAAAATAATGCCTCTAGAACACCTAATGTGCTTGGACACATAGGACAACATGAGTTGCTTCTACAGGCAAGACGCTAAATTCCTCTAGGAGCAGTGTTTGTTGAAGCCAGTGTGTGTGAAGCCTTAAAGCGGAGTTCCACCTAAAAAAAAAAAGAAAGAAAAGTCATCAGCTACAAAAACTGTAGCTGCTGACTTTTAAAATACAGCCACTCACCTGTCCCTCGGTCCAGTGGTGCCTTCACCACAGCTTTTTTCACTGGCCGTCTTCTCTCCCTGGCGCCGGCATCTTTAGTGTGGGCACCCGGCTGTGACAGCTTGCGGCTTCACAGCCAGGTTCCCACTGCACATGCGTGAGAAGCGCTGCGCTTTGTGAATGGTCCCGTAGTCTTCTGGGACCTGTCACGTGTCCAAGAAGACTATGGGGAGGGAGGACGACTTCCGCTTTTAATCACCTAGGCGATCGCAGTGGAAGTGGGAGCGGGTACCTGTCGTATCCACTCCCCAAAGGTGCCAATCCTTAATAAGGAGTGGGGGACAAAGGTTTAAAGCGGAACTTCCCCTTTTGGGTGGAGCTCCGCTTTAAATCATTTTTATGACTATCATTTCTTAACACTTTTCCAAGACTGAAATATTGAAAGAAAAACTATGTTTATCAGCTTTCCATGTCTGTAACAGTCACACACACGTGAAAGAATTCAGGAAATCAGAATCCACACCCCTGAGCAGACCAGGTTGGAGCAAGAATACATTATTCTAACCCCCCCCCCCCCCCCCCCCATGGTGACCCTGTACTGCTAGGGTGACAGTATGTTTAAAAAAAAAAATAATAAGAATAAGAATATAAAAAAAAATTTAAACATTTTTTCGAAAAATTATAATTTTTGGTTATAAACTAATTTGGGTTAGTATTTTTTTTACTAAAAAGAGAACTGAATACATTTTGGCCAAGATTTATGAAGAAAGATTATTTATTTGCAAACTTTTATAAGAAAAACACTTTTTTTTCAAAATGTTTATTTTCATTTATATAGCAAAAAAAAATAGAAATCCCAGTGGTGAATAAATGCCACCAAAATAAAGTTTTATCTGTCTCAAAAAAATGCTAAAAAATTCATATGGGTACAGTGTTGCATGACTGCGCAATTGTCATACAAAGTGTGATAGCACTGAAAGCTGAAAATTGGCCTGGACAGGAAGGGGGTGAAAGTGTCCGGACTTGAAGTGATTAAGCATTATAGCTGCTATAGAGCCCCTGGGCTTGGTCACAATACTGACACACTACTGTCCCTGCTCACAGGAGAATATAATTGCCAGAAAATTAAAGAAGGAAGGAAGTGGGAGAAGGAGCATGGGAGGAATAAAGGATAGAAGGAGTGAACCAGTTATGTAGTGCAATGTCTAATGACATAATTCTAACCTCACACATACTATTAAAAGTAACCTTCTCTTTCTTCAAGCATATATGCATAATGATATGTCATAGTCCATTACTTTGTCTATTTTAAATGTATTCCTTCTTTCCTTAATACATACAGCTTAAGCAAAACAAAGAGTCTAACATGCAAATTTTGACTTTTTGTCAAATGTCAACAGCTAAACCCTCATTTCATCTCCAACCACTCTGACATGTGGTGAAAGTGATGACAAATGACTGTAACAGAAGGAGCATAGGTGTCAGGCAGCCATGATTGACAGCCTGGCTTTGTCTTCTGTGTGCTGTGCAGGAAACAATACAATAACACCCAAAACAGAAACAGTGTTTTTGTTCATTGGATTATGTACTGATCAGTTATTTATAAACCTAAAGCCGTATTAAACCCAGAAGCAAACATTTATTGCAGCTTACCAATTCTTAGATCTGATGGCTGCATTAGTTTTACATTTTAAGGCTTTCTTTCTTTTATCTGGTGATCTGACCAGTAAGTCTATTGTTTCTCATGCAGATGTGGCAGTTACAGGATGATACAAACCATTTAATACTGGCAGGGTGCTTATAATGATTAGCTTTTATTTATTTATACAAAACCTTTGTCCCAAAAAAGAAAAAAAAAACCTCCTGTAGCTTCTTAAGTGTTAGCTGAGTTTGGCTTCAACTTGTTAGTGTGTCTAAATTGGCTAGTACATCTAACACTACCCTAATACCAGGCTGACAATGCTGCTGTCCAAATGTGCCCCTGTGCTCCTTCATCCAGACTGGAGGCACTCTAATACAGGAAGTATGTTACTGGAAATATCACAAGGTGAAAACAGAGGGGAAAAAACGCCCAAAAAAGAAAATTATAGCAGCTACCACATCTGATTGGTATGCTGCAATATATTACATTTTGGTTTTGGGTTTAGCCGGTGATTACTCGCTGGCACCCCATGATCGCCAAGTATCTTTGACGGGGGAGAGACCTGTATACAGATATCTCCCCTGTCAGCTCCTGCACACTGCTTTGTGCGTACAGTGAAGCACACACACAGCACATAATGTGAAACAGCACACAGTTAACCCTTTGATCACCCCAGATGTTAGCCCCTTTCTGCCCAGTGGCAGGAAGTCAGTTCCCCCCAGTGTTAGAATGCCAGCCGCAGTCCTGCTATAAGTCACTGATCGCCGCCATTAATAGTAAAAAAAAAAAAAAATTCCAGTATACAGTCAGGTCCATAAATATTGGGACATCGACACAATTCTAACATTTTTGGCTCTATACACCACCACAATGGATTTGAAATGAAACGAACATGATGTGCTTTAACTGCAGACTGTCAGCTTTAATTTGAGGGTATTTACATCCAAATCAGGTGAACGGTGTAGGAATTACAACAGTTTGCATATGTGCCTCCCACTTATTAAGGGACCAAAAGTAATGGGACAATTGGTTTCTCAGCTGTTCCAAGGCCAGGTGTGTGTTTTTCCCTCATTATCCCAATTACAATGAGCAGATAAAAGGTCCAGAATTAATTTCAAGTGTGCTATTTGCATTTGGAATCTGTTGCTGTCAACTCTCAAGATGAGATCCAAAGAGCTATCACTATCAGTGAAGCAAGCCATCATTAGGCTGAAAAAACAAAACAAACCCATCAGAGAGATAGCAAAAACATTAGGCGTGGCCAAAACAACTGTTTGGAACATTCTTAAAAAGAAGGAACGCACCGGTGAGCTCAGCAACACCAAAAGACCCGGAAGACCACGGAAAACAACTGTGGTGGATGACCGAAGAATTCTTTCCCTGGTGAAGAAAACACCCTTCACAACAGTTGGCCAGATCAAGAACACTCTCCAGGAGGTAGGTGTATGTGTGTCAAAGTCAACAATCAAAAGAAGACTTCACCAGAGTGAATACAGAGGGTTCACCACAAGATGTAAACCATTGGTGAGCCTCGAAAACAGGAAGGCCAGATTAGAGTTTGCCAAACGACATCTAAAAAAGCCTTCAAAGTTCTGGAACAACATCCTATGGACAGATGAGACCAAGATCAACTTGTACCAGAGTGATGGGAAGAGAAGAGTATGGAGAAGGAAAGGAACTGCTCATGATCCTAAGCACACCACCTCATCAGTGAAGCATGGTGGTGGTAGTGTCATGGCGTGGGCATGTATGGCTGCCAATGGAACTGGTTCTCTTGTATTTATTGATGATGTGACTGCTGACAAATGCAGCAGGATGAATTCTGAAGTGTTTCGGGCAATATTATCTGCTCATATTCAACCAAATGCTTCAGAACTCATTGGACGCCGCTTCACAGTGCAGATGGACAATGACCCAAAGTATGCTGCAAAAGCAACCAAAGAGTTTTTTAAGGGAAAGAAGTGGAATGTTATGCAATGGCCAAGTCAATCACCTGACCTGAATCCGATTGAGCATGCATTTCACTTGCTGAAGACAAAACTGAAGGGAAAATGCCCCAAGAACAAGCAGGAACTGAAGACAGTTGCAGTAGAGGCCTGGCAGAGCATCACCAGGGATGAAACCCAGCGTCTGGTGATGTCTATGCGTTCCAGACTTCAGACTGTAATTGACTGCAAAGGATTTGCAACCAAGTATTAAAAAGCGAAAGTTTGATTTATGATTATTATTCTGTCCCATTACTTTTGGTTCCTTAATAAGTGGGAGGCACATATGCAAACTGTTGTAATTCCTACACCGTTCACCTGATATGGATGCAAATACCCTCAAATTAAAGCTGACAGTCTGCAGTTAAAGCACATCTTGTTCGTTTCATTGTGGTGGTGTATAGAGCCAAAAATGTTAGAATTGTGTTGATGTCCCAATATTTAGGACCTGACTGTATATACCACCATTTGTAAATGCTATAACTTTCACGTAAACCAATTAATTTACATGTATTGGGATTTTTTTTTTTAGCAAAGATGTAGCAGGATACATTTCGGCCTAAATTTATGATGAAATTTGATTTTTTTTATTTTTTTTACTGGACTGGACTGTCGGCCTTTTTTCTTTTTATAGCGCAGAAAATAAAGACGCACAGGTGATCAAATACCACTGAAAGAAAGCTCTATTTGTGGGGAAAAAAAGGACGTAAATTTCATTAAGGTGCAGCATTGCACGACTGCGCAATTGTCAGTTGAAATAACACAGCGCCGTATCTAAAAAAATGGCCTGGTCAGGAAGGGGGATAAATCCTCTGGAGGGCGAGTGGTTGTGCCTTCCATTATGGGAAAGCATAGGACTTCTGGTTTAATTGCCTTTTCAGTGACCAGTAAATTCACTATGAACAAAATATATACAAAAGTCATTTGATCTGCCCCATCTTCATTTTTCATTCTGTTGTTCTTTATCTTCTACTTTCTCTCCAGTACATGCTAAAATTTGCTGTGTTACCTTTTTGAAGAGTGCCATTTTCCTACCATATAATACTATACTATGTAAGACTATGTAGGACGTTGAGCTTTTACATTAGGTCTTTGCTAAACTCTTGGATGTTTTATACTTGCATCAACTGCCACATTTTTAGACATCACTTAGGTGATTCCATTCACAAGTTACATCATCAAGGCCACAACATTAGCACGTTGTTTCATTAGTAAGTTAACATTGTTTTACATCCTAACAGATGTCATCTGCCATGGATACATCCACCTTAATCAAATGCTACTTTATTTGCACATTGTAATAATTTCCATAACTGCAATATCTAAAAGTGTTTTGGTTTAGTTTTTTCATCCTACATATTCTGAAGATCTGTAAGGGCATATGCCTAATGTCTGTTTCAGCTTGGCAATCTAGTAAGGGCAGATGCTTCAACTACAGACATTACACAGTAAAGCAGGAAAACATTTTAAAAGAATCCATCATTGAGCAAAATTGAATCCAGTGGTAAACATATTTACAACAACCAGAAAACAACATTTTTATTTTCAGTAAATCACTAGGTGGAAAAGTTCTTCTCTTTGTTGTCCTATGATTAACGTGATTTCAAGTCAAGAAATGCAATAATTACATAGCTTGGCACAGTGCAATTTGGCATTAAAGTAGCCTATTCCAGTTTTCAAAATTAAATACATTGATTTTCTGACACAAGCTAGAAATTAAATCATAAATCTATAATGCGTCTCCTGAACAATTAATTGCTAACAAGAAAATAATAATTTTGTAAAAAGATTATTTGAGGGTTCATTCACATCAGAAAGTGGTGCTGGAAACTTGCTTTCACACACCGTGTTCCAAATGTTCCAAATGCACTGGGCGTGCCACCTACTGTGGGTCTCAATGTATTCCACAAATACAGGTCACAAAGGCAGTGCATTTGCCTGCTCTGATTCACATGGTACCATAGTACCATGTGATCCAGTTGCAATGTTTTTATAAAGTAGTGCATGCACTACTTTTGGTGTGTGATCCAGTGCAATTTCAGCCCATTCAAATGAATAGGCTGAAAATCACATTATGTGAAAGTGTGAAAAAGAATTCACAAGAAGAATGCGGTTACATTATGGACAGAAAGCGATAAAAAATATGCTTTATTGCAAGATTTGCACATATTTAGACATTAAGGTAAAAACCACAGTTAGCCATCACCACAAGATGAGACAATACCAACCTAAAACAAAAAATAATAAAAGAAGGACGTCATGACCGGCCATGTACTGTATGTAGTTACATACATACAGCACAGGCACATTGGAAACACCACTATGTAAGGGATGTACACAAATGTAATCTAGAAATATAGGACTGTACATCAAAAATGCAATGCATAACACAGTACCAATTAAAAATATACGGACTGAGGAGCCCAACTAGACAATGCTAGGGACCTGGTAAAAAGATCCAACTCAGGGCATGAATCAAACAAAAAATTACATGCAACACATGGATGTAAACATTTCTGCTGACATGTGCGCCAGTAGAGATATTGAGACTAATGATGTCATTGCTCAAAGATACAGCCTTTGAAGGAATTCAGGTAGATTGTGACTGGTATGACTGAAAATAGTGTCCAAATGTGACCCGGGATGATAATGGAACTTAGAAAAAACTTTGTATCAATAATGACTTCTCCATAGGACATCTGCCATCTATAGTTGGAATGGCAGGGCCCTGCCAAAAATGGTGTGGAAATTCTTCACCACCAGCATGCAGCCTAAATGCCTCCCTTAATGTGTAGCTGACATGGAAACAATATGAATATCCATGCAGGATAGTGGAGGGGGGTGCTGCGCATCATCTAGGAAGTATGGCATAATGTCCAAATCCTGAGATAAAGAGGTGACATAAGAGAAAGTCAATATGGCAGTCACTATGTAGCCTCAAATAGAGGAGGCCGTAGGGCCATGATTCCTTTTTGGTATAAATAGAGTTCCACTCACCACCAGTGCAGTGAATAAAGGACAATGCACAATATCTCCTGTTGTGATATTCAAGCTCGGAGTCCCAAAGGCAGTCGCCAGCATCGGGACTGTTGATGAACGGGCTCCGCTTCCATCCAGGTACACGTGTGGATTGATGAACGTCCAGCAAGACCGTGTATTTCCGTGTCCCCAGCAGAGCTTGGTGTATGGCGCCAATGTGCCGGCCAGTAGTTTAGTCACTGACGTGGGCAGATAGAATACGTCCAGCAATACAAATAAATATTTATGGCCTCAAGTTCCTCTGTTGTTATCCTGCATGAAAATCACATTGCCCTAAATCATGCGTTCCTGTACGATTCCAATGTGAACTGGCACTCAAAGCGTATTTCATACATCCCCGCAATATGGTACAACATAGAGTATAATTTTTGAAGTGAAGCAAAGCAAAAGCAAGAGTGAACAGGACTGTAAGTTGTCCATTTTATTTAGTGAGAGGTGCTATGACTGGCATTCAGAGTGCTTTAAAAAAGCGTGCCAAATGCCACATTTTGAAACAAGCTTAAACAAGCCCTAAATACAGTATAATGCTGTTAGTGGGGTATCCAGAAATAGGGTCAAATGAAATTGCCGGTAATACTGCCGACACAATC